TTTATAACCAATTTTAGATTATTTACAAGTTGATAAAATTATTGCTAAACTCAATGGAGGTACTCTTCCATTCATGGGTAAGAAATCGAAATAATCCATATAAGTAGATGTTTTGAATTAATATTATTTTATTAATGCTAAAGGATGTTACTTCTCTTATTTTATATCATTACTAATTAATATTATTATTGCATTAGCAAGTTTATTATTTCTCATTAAAATATTTTTAAGATTACTTACAATCACTACTTCAACAATTAAGGATAAATAAAAATGGAAGTATTTTTTTTAAGATTCTAAGACTTAATTTTGGTCAGGTAATTTCAAACCTTTTCAAATTTATAGAACAGTTTATTATATTACAATTATTGTTGAATTAATTTAATATCCTGAAGCATAATCAATTTTACTTTCGATGTAATCATTATTTTATTTAATTTACTTGATTTATTTTAGACCTTTGATATCAAATTTTTATTTAGCTAAATTGCTGTGTAGAGAAGTTGTATTTTTGATAATTACAGGATCATTTTTAGTCTAAAGTTAAGAATTTAACGAGGATAAATTTTTAGTTTATGGATGGTTACATATAGGTCTATTTTGCTTCATAATAGGCTTCACTTTAATAGTTGACATTTTAGATTAAGGGATATAAGCATATAATTTCCATTTAAAAAATAAAAGAAAGAAAAAATAAGAAAAATAAAGAAATATTATAATAATCCATTATAAAGTTACATATTGGGAGAACCAATATAAATTTAGAAAAAGATTTTATTTTTTAGGGTTAAATGACTTATAATAATTTTTTATTCAATAAAATTTTTGAAATTAAATATATAATTTCCTAAAATAATACAATTCCAAATACATATAAATATTTCCTCAAAAATAGACTTTTTTAGAGAAAGTTTCATTTTTTTTAAATCAGTTAATCTCCTAATTACTTTTATGACTTATTTTTTAAAGAAAAAAATTCCAATAAATGATATTTATCATAGTATTGAGCATTATATATTATTATATCATTAAATAATTAAATAATATTAAGTATATATATGTCCATCATTAAACCTCCTTTGCAGTATTTTCCTCTCTAATCAAAATTTCACATAATTATTTGATATATATCTAAATTTTATTTTAATCTTTAAATT